GGGCTCCAAAGCCTGACCAAGCAAACTGGACTGAGAGCCCGTTCCCTAACACCCACCAATTCTACGGTCAATCCCAAGTGCCTGGCAGCTTGTCTAGCGGCCACGGGGTTCCTTCTCCTTGAGGTGGGCAGGTTGAGCTGTCAGGCACATTTTTGGGAGAAGGCAAGGAGCCTGACTCCAGAATCCTAACCACAACCCCACCAGGAGACACTGCTGCACAGAAGTGTTAGGGTGTGCAAACAGCAGCTGTGCCTAAACCCAAAGGACGAGCTGGCAAATGCCCAAAACACAAACGAAGCTGTCCACTGGCCCTGGCAACCGGCTTCCTCCTCAAACTCTCTCCTCCCACCATGAGGTAGAATCATCACTGCAGTTCATTCGCGCATGCTCTGAGAGGATGCAGACGACTCTGTGATCAATACGAAGGAAAGGGTGATTGTCACTTAAATTAAAACGTAACAATTATTTCTGCTCTGATGATGGACCGGGTGGTGAAGGCTTGCTTTGTTTCAGGAAGACACTTGTCCCTACACATATTCCACCTGGCAGGAAACTCTCTGAAAACGCATCTGTCTAACGGTAAAACCAACTTTCATCCCTTGAGCACTTGACAGAGACTTGAGAGGCATGATGAACTGAAGGGAAGGCTGAAATTGAGAACCTGCTACGTGCAATGCACCAAATGTCCTGCATGTGGTAACTAAGATTGGTCCCGTGAGGATTAACTGAGGCTGTCCAGCACCTTGGCTTCTCCCACAGCCACTGTATGGGCCGCCCGAGGCCTGGCTGGAGGAAGGCGCATCACAGCAAGGTGCCAAAGGGCACTTTCCGTCCCCTTTCGTGGACATGCACACCGGACAAAATGGGCTCAGTCAGGGTCACTTCAGACACCTGCTAGCAGTGGAAGTCTTGCCAAATGTCTTCACCTACCTTAGGAAGTTACTGATATTCCCATTACATTTGTTTTCAAGCCACCCAGGAGAACCACATTTCAGCCCAAGGGAAGGTGCTGTGGCTTCGCTGGTGGCTTGGAAACTCTTTGGGGAAAGAATAACGGAGACAAGACCCTTTGTTTGCCATCTTCCACCAGCCCCAGCCCCTAAATCACACCTTGTACTAAACTGCCAGAACCCCCAATTTGTTAGTAAGTCTTAAAAAGGTAAATTCTTCACTGTAGACGCTCAGCTTTATAATCTCCTGCTCCCATCTCCCAATAAAACTTTCAGTTAAGACTTATGTTGAACTGAGTGAGGTTTATTTAACTGCAGGATTTTCAGCTGAAACAACAGTTGGCATTTTTCCTTCAATCTCCCGCAGAAACACAAATTTATGTACCTACAAGGTAATAAGGCAAAGTCTTAAATTTAATCAGAAGAAATATTTCACCCATGGCAAACTGATAAATTATTTAGAAAAGGGCTCAATCGGCCTGTCAAGGAAACCTGGGCCAGATAGTCTGGCAGCTTCAGAAAAAAACATCATCGTCATGGTTTCTCTAAACTCCTTCTTGACCCCAAATCACCTTTATCAAAATGTTTAATCTTGAATAGTTAAAGCTAGAAAAGTAAAGAGGAAAAACCAGAAGGATTTTAACACCAGGAAGGATATCAGCTCATCAAGGTATCACTCTTATGATGCTGACAGGTTTTCAGTGGTTGACTTTCTGCACTCCCTGGACGAGATGGAAGTCACGGGATTCCCCAGCCTGCTCCCATCCATGGCAACATGGAGGCATGCAAAGATTTCTGCAAACACTAATGAAAATGACCTTATTTCCAGTGGCCCAACCTTTGTGAGTCTTGCAGTACAGGACACAGAGAGAGAAAACCAGATCTATGGGTATCTACATCAAAGGTCTAGAAATTTAATAACGTTCCCATTGTTTTATTGCAGATGCAACCAACCTCTCTTTATTACTGCAGAAAACTCGAGAGCCCTGTAGAGTGCAATGAAGTGGTGTGTGTTTTGCTCTGCAATGTTTCAAAGGACCCTGATTTATAGTTAGGAACTAGGCGCCCATGCACAAACATCTGAGCTTGGTGACTGCCTCACGTTTTGTGCAAACTCTATGAGGAAGCATGAGGCTGCCACACTCTGAAAACCACACCATCGGATGCCAGGCCTCCCTCCCTCTCCCGTAACCCAAGTGAAGGGGTGCAGAACAAAGAAGTGTGCACTTGCACCAGGACACGTGCCATTATTGCCCAGTGAATACTGCACAGACCCATGACTGATACCAGCGAGCCAGTCAGGCATCCCGCTGCACTGTTACCTTAGGCTTGTCTCTGAAATACATAAGTCCCACTAAGAGTCTGTAGCAGCAACATTTTAAACATTTTTATAGTTCTTAAAAATGAATGTAATGGTCTTGGCATTCAAAAAAGAAAATATTAAGGATTCATTGTTGTGTCTGCTTCCTGAATGCAGGCAAAAGATCTCACCCTGTCTGCAGGAACTGCTTCTTTCTAGGCTATAGCTGATACTTTATTCCAATTCTACTTTATAAACCAACCCAGATGGTACGCTGGCACCTCTTCCTAGGCATCCAATAATCTGTAAACATTCTCCCTCATCAGCCCTTTGAACTCTCTCTCCTTCAAAAAATTACATTATAGATCTGTTCTTGAAATCCCACTAACTTTAACAAATTTTCTCAGACTAACAACCGTCTACCCAGAGGACTATACCCCTTTGTACTGCTACTGGCCACCCAAGGTTAGCCCTCCCACTATCCTGGGAAGGTAATTTCTCTGTCCTATATGTGATTCTACACTGTCATTTTTGGATCTGCAATCATTTCTCTCTATACAATGTTACCTGCCTTACATGTTAATGCCTCTTCCTGATAGCATGGAAGAGATCTGCTCATAGACAGAAATTTAGATTAAAAATAATAAAATCCTAGTGTAGAAGATTCCACTTACTGTCAGTTAGCATGAACTTACTAATACCTACCAAGCTAAACTAAAAGCTAGCAGTAGACCAACTCTTAGCACACATACACACGCACAAAAATTACACATCACTCCAAATGGAATGAACATATGTCTTCATATACTAAACATGCATTCTAAAAGACTGTATCTTCTATATAATAATTCTTTAAAAGGAAGAAAGTAATTAAAACAGCAGAGACCCTTCCTATGAAGAATACAATCAGTAGATCTGGTCATGTTCTTTTTTAAACAAATGTGTCTAGCAAAGAGCAAAAGCATGAAGTCAAACCCAGAGGATGGTCAGAAGTAGGTAAGTCAGAAAGGCATTCTTTTAAATTTTAGTAGTGCTGGTTCTCAACCTTCCATCTGCCAGTGACATCGTGTCTTCCGATATTACCTGTGCACGTTGTTCCACGTGGACTAGAAGGTCTGTCTACACCTCTCACTCACCCCTAAGTGCCTGTCTAGTCTGGAGTACCTTCAAAGTCCTCAAGGAAACTATTTTCTACTGATAACATGGGGCATCTCAACTATTTTTAAAGGAACACACCAACTAAATATCTTTCCGGTCCTCATCCAAGCCCCAAACACACTGTACTCTCAAGAAAAATGCTCCTGAATTTTTATATAAACCACCAAGAGGTAACAAATTCGAGGGAGGAAAAAGCAAAGCCTTTAGACATAGATGAAAATCTCCACTAAGAAACTGCCTTCTAAAGAACAAGAGTCCAAGGACTTCCCTGGCGGTCCAGTGGTTAAGATTCCACGCTTCCACTGTAGGGGGCGCAGGTTCAATCCCCAGTCAGAGAACTAAGATCCCCCATGCCACACAGAAGGAAGGGAGGGAGGGAGGAAGGTAGGAAGGAAGGAAAGAAAGAAGGGAGGGGAGGGGAGG